CGGCCTGCTGGTTACAGGAATAAATAGAGTTGTGATAGATATTAACATAAGGGCTGCATGGTGGCGCAGTGGTTAGCACTGTTGCCTCGCAGCACGAAGGTTGCAGGTTTGAAACTCGGCTGCGGCCTTTCTGCGTGGAGTTGCGTGTTCTCCCCATGCATGCGTGGGTTTCCTCCGGGTACTCCGGTTTCCCCCACAGATCACAACATGCCCTACAGGTTATAAATTGTAAGTTGCTTTGGATAAAAGCGTCTGCCTAATAAATAAACATAAACATAAATATATGACTTTTACACAGAAACAAGCTTCCAAACGACCAAAACAATTTGTTTTACGTTGTTGTGCAGATCACTGACCTGTTTGAACTGTTGAACCTTCAGTCTGGATCAAAGTCCAGAAGCTGACTTCTTCCAGAGCTTCCAGAGTTTTTTAATTGAGCACATGATTTAGAGCCGGTGCTTGTCTCTGACTGGACACCAGTTCATTTTTTCACCCTAGCTGCTAACGCTGGTTCAGAACAAAGCAGGTTAGATCTTTCCCTGAACAGTTCCTTTCCTCGTTCTCATGTCCAGGGAACTTGATAAATTTATACCATATTGACTACAGAAGCCATTTACCCTGACAATCAGCTTTTCTCTTGTTAGAAATGGCGTTGGAGCCAGCGGATCAGCAGCTGACAGCTCTGTCCCCTGAGGGAATCAGAAAGTGCTGTTGGCTGGCTCATCGCCGGTCCCACGTGTCACAGAAAATGTAACATTTGTAAAACATCCGCGCCCAAATATCACGGCAATCCATCTTGTGGTTGTCACTGGAAACGAAGACTCAAATGAAAACAAAACTCACGGTGGTGCCAGAGGGAGAGTCGGAGAGTCGGGGGATCACTAATGACACAACACATCATCATCTGGGGACCATTAATGATTTTACAAATTTCCATAACGATTTGACAGCTGCTGAGATACGAACCAGAAAAGAAGAAACTCTGATGCTAAAATATACTTTGAGTCAAACTCTGCGAGTACTTGAGAGGATATTTGGATGTTGCATCAAAGTTTGTTTGTTCGACCCTGTCATGACTCGAGGTAAGCGCCTAACCCAAGACATGCAGAATCATCACACGTAGTCCAAAGCAGTAAAGTAAAATGTCTTTATTATAAAAACGGGAACTGAAACCGCACAGGGAAGTCCTGTGGGATGAGCAATACGGCTCGAGTCTCTGAAGTGCTCAGGTTGATGAGGAGATGAGAGGAAGCCAGGAAGTTCGCTGGGCAGAGGGTGAGAGGTCCAGGAGAGGCGAGGTAGCAGAGGGAAGCCAGCAGCGGAGGAGGATGGAACGTGATGTGTTTTCCAGGGAACGAAGACAGCGAAGGTGAGTAGATGAGGAGAGGATCCTGAGTGGAACAAAAACCAGGCTTGAGGGATAATCCAAATCGTAATCCAAAAACACAATCCAAGGTCATAAATCCAATGGTCAAACACGAGTCAAAACACAAACAAACTAGATCAAGGTCAAAGGCTGGTGCTACCTAAACTGGTTCAATCACCCGGCAAAGTGATGTGTCTCCATCCTCCTTTTGAACCCGCGTCCCTGATTGGAAAATCTCCTGCAGCTGCTGCTCCCCCTGCTCCTCACCTGTGGAGAATTAGCTTAGAGTCTGGTGAGAGGAGCTGGTGTGACTCACCTCTGCCCAGGAACAGGACAGTCCCTCGGTTAACCTTCACATAAAACTCCAGTATTTGTCCTGGTGGTGTGTTTTTAGTTTCACTAAAGAAAAGAAAACAGTTTTGCGTCAGTACTGAGAGCCTTCTGCGAATAGACACGAAAAATTACCTCTTTCATTTGTCTAAACAATCTCATTTCTTCTCTCAAAGCTGCTTCTAGGGTCCTGTTTATGTGTGTTTATGTTGCTTATTGATAATCCTATATTTCACCATGGAGGACGTGTGTAATCGTCCACTTTGGTGAGTTGCATGATAATTATTTAGTATACTAATATTGTTCCAATGTAGGATTACGTGTGTTAAAATTAGGGATGAGCGAGTACACCACTATCTGTATCTGTATCTGTACTCGGAATGGGCGTGGCATAACCCGGAAGTGGGCGTGGTCTAACCGGAAGTGGGTGTGGTTTATGTCAATATATTATTTTAAGTCTGAAATTGATATGGATTGATCAGAAGTTGATATGTGTGTGGTTTATTTGAAAACTATTTACAGAGCAGCCTCAGAATAGAGATTAAATATTTTTGATCACAATAGTAAAGGAACTATTACAGAACAAGTGTTTCAGTAAAATCAGAACTTTAATATTTAAGTGCATTGATTAATACATCTGAACTCTTGCAGTAGGAACTAGGAAATATGAAATGCTAGAACCAGACAACACTTTATATATATTTTTTAAATTTTTATTTGATTAAACTGATTTTTTTCTTAACGTTCTTGGCATTTTCCCACACAAAGTTAAACAAAACAATGTTGAATGAGGTGTGTGTGTGTGTGTGTGTGAGAGAGAGAGAGAAAGAGAGAGATAGAGAGGGAGAGAGGGAGAGAGAGGGAGTTAAAAAAAAATTAAAAACCCGACCGTAGCGGAGGTAGAGACACAGCACGTCAGCTCTGTCTTGTCAAATGCACCATGTAAGTTACGAAAAAAGTAACTTTAAATATTCAACCGAAAAAGAGGCGAGCTGAAGAAAACCTAGGGAAAACTGAAGAAACGTGAGCAACAGTGAAGCAATCACAGCGAGATCCGTTACTGTCTGTGTGTGTGTGCGTGGATGAACCGGACGGACTGAGCTCACGGTGTCGGTACAGGATCTGCTCGGGTGCAAGATCGGCTCGGGGTCCGTCGACTGCAGATCAAAGTAGTTGATTGGCTGAACATGAACCTTACGGAATTACGTAGTCACGTTACGTTGTTATCATGTTACGTTGGTCCAGGCAAATTTTTCTGTTGGAAAGATGGACAACTTTTACAAAGAAATCCATCATTACCTCTTTGAAAATACACTTTTAGCATAGAGCTGCATGTATATTAGGGCTGAACGATTAACTGCATGTGCAATTAAATTGCGATGTGACAAAAGGAGATTTTCTAATTGCAAAGACTGCAATTTGGCAGCGAGTGGTTAGCGCAATGCTAATATACGTGGAAAAACCCATAGGAATGCTAATGCTAATATCACCGATTACATTCTTACAAATTATGAATTAGAAACGTGCCAAATGATTACATTTGGAGTCTAATAGAAAGTAAAACTACCATCAATCAAATAAGTACAGACAGGTATTTTAGTAAAGCCAGAAAACGTTTAACTCCAGAGTTTTGGCTAGCAGCTATGAGCGTACCTGAACTACACATTGCTTGTGGAAAAACTAAACACAAAATACTTCAATAAACGGGACACACTTCTTTCCTGCAAATACAATTTCACAGGTGTTGCTAATACCTATGATCCTTCAAGGGATGTGCTCAAAGAGGAGTTCAGCATTATGAATACAATATAGTGTTTTATTTTATAAATACCATTATAAACACAAACTTACATCTTAAGAAACATTATTTTAATAACGAAACTGCTACATTCTTTCCAACAGTATAGATGTGTAGTGTATTTTGTCCGAGTGGGTTTGCCGTACTTTGACGTCATCGGCAGTCGAAGGACCCCGAGCCGATCTTGCACCCGAGCAGATCCTGTACCGACACCGGCCGGCTGCAGTTTTGTGTGTAGAGAGGGGCAGGCGCTTTATGTGACTGGCCAATCACAGAGCGTGAAGACAGTCATTTAACCAATGAGGATTTTCCTTCAGCACGATTACAGATATTTACGAGGTTTACTCGTTTCATGCTCGTATTTGTCAAAAATACTTTATCCGTACCGGATACTCGTCTGAAACGAGTACCCGGCTCATCCCTAGTTAAAATTACATCACCTATTTACAAGGGCGTGTCCAGGGGGTGGCCTGGGGTAGCACATGCCACCCTTGGAATCTGACTGACCACACCACTGAATTTCAGTTTACTTTTCCACAAAAAACTTGGGGTAAAAAAGAAAAAGCATAACCATTGGTGCCACCCTAGCACAAAGAAGTGCACCACCTGGGCCACCCCATTTTAAAAAATCTGGCCACGCCACTGCTTATTCAGTATGATGCGCATCACTGCCATGCTTTCTTGTCTCGCCCAGGTTTAAGGGTAGCATCTGAACTCTGGTAGGGATCCGGACTTTTTTAAAGTCAGCTCCAAGTAAAGTCAAACACTGTTTATCTGTTTATCACATAACGTTATAAATCCAGCGAGGTGACTTCCGGAAATCAGTGAGTAGCAGCAGGGAGAACGTAATCTAGCGTTTTTAAGCTAGCTAACACAACTTTTGTGAACGCCGCTCCTTATGAGCCCCATCTGGGTGTGCTAAACCTTCCCACAGGTAAGCTGGACTTGAACCACTGAAAACTAAGGTTGGGCATCGAGCATCGATTGGAACCGGTTCCAACTGTTCATTTTTCCCAGAATCGTTCAAAGTTTTTTATTTCAATTCCTAGTTTCGGTTCCTAGAATGCCGACTGGAAGAGAAATCCGTGGCCGACCTCAGTGAAAAATAAACGTGAATTGTGATCAACGCTTTTCAGAGCTGATCACACCAGCTGTCTGTGTGCAGCACCGAGAACCCCCCACCCCCCCACCCAGATCTAAACAAACGCGTCTGCCGAACTTTTACTCCTTCATGTAAACGTTAACTCCTGCAGCGTAGAGGAAACATGTTAAATACGTCAACACGGTGGATTTAATAGAAGCTTTAAAGAACAAACTCTGGACGGTGTGAGGTGAGTTTGTCTCACTGCAGAAATAAAAACACACACCGAGCGTCGACAGTCAGACGCAGCCGCTCGTCGTTGGTGAGCATCAGAAGGCTGAACAATAGAGCAGCTTTCTCTGTGGTGGACCACACCAGCTTCTGCCACAATAAATAATAATAATAATAATAATAATAATAAGCTGTGAACATTTTAATTTCCTTTCTTAACTATTTCTGTTGAGTTTTAATGTTTAATCTGTTAGATTGTTACTGACAGCAGCTACGTTTAAGTTCCACTTCCTGTTCTGACTGAACGCTGCTGCAGCATGGAGGTGTAGTTCTCAGTCATCCTGGACATGATCATCCTGAGAGTTTTAGCTGAAAACAGCTGGACGTTTCTGGATATGTTGGAGACATTTAGCCTCTCATCCCAGAGGCTTCTTCCAGACTGGTTGTGGTCAGAAACAAACACACTGGTTGCGCTGCAAGTCTTTTTATTTTTTCTCCAAAACATGTTTGTGTCTAAATGAAGGTGATGTTGTTGTTCATAGAATTAAAATTCAAGTTGAAGTTAACATTATTTCATCAAGTAGGACCTGTGGTTAGCTGGCTCATGTAAAACATGTCATGTCTTGAAAGAATCGGAATCGGGAATTGATAGGAACCAGAATAAAACGAGGAATTGGAATCGGAATCGTTCAAAATTAAACGATGCCCAACCCTACTGAAAACCAGGCTAAACTGGCAAAAAAAAATTTTTACTCAATCACCACTTTTGTCGTCTATTCAATAATCCTGTAATTTACGGTTGCTGTCCACTATGGTGGACACATGTGGTCAGGTGATGTAAGTGCAAAGGGTCAATATAGGGAGCCCAATGCCTGGAATATTGTTGCTGTTTAACTTTCCGCTGCAGGCAGCGTCTTTGTTCACACACTTGCTGCTACACGGCACTGCACTGCGTGTAGTACTGGAGTGTTCCACTAGGGGCGCACTAGAGAACTCTGACCGGACAGAGAGCCGGAAAATGGCTGTAAGTTCAGCAAACTTCAAATCCTTCCTTCAAGAGTAAAGAACCACCATAAATCTGACCATGTGGTTACTAGCAGCTACGCTAGAGAGGAGGAGATTCTGTGGTGACGTCACATATGCGACACATCGATGTCCGATTTGTAGTCATGCTAATTACGAACTTTGGCAAATCTCAAAGTACGTGACTGGCGTGATCAAAACACACTTGATTACTTTTTATTTAAATATAGTACAACATATGTGTGATCCTTTGCGTAAGTCAAAGCGGATTAGAAAATAGCTCTTTAAGCCCCGTTGACTAGCATTCATTGTTTCGTTCTTCCAGCGACCAATGAGCTGACCGCAAAGGGAGTAGACACAGGGAGAAGAAGAGAAGAGTTGGATGGATGTTTTCCACACTTCTGTAAGTAAGTCCCCATGAATAAAGTACTTCTGCTTCCTACCACCTACAGTTCTTAACATACAGGCAAAAATCTTGTTACTCCATATTTACTCCATAAGTGAATAGAGAAAAGGGCTCCAGCTCACTCCATGACAGAACTAACATCACTCTAAACTGGAATTTTTTTCAGTTTTGGTCAAGTTAAATGTTGATGTGACTCAACCAAGGAGCTGACTTGTGTAGCAAGTCAGAAAACTCTGGCTGCCAAATATTGAAACACCTGAACAAAGAAAACTAGCTTTTCCTGGACTGGAGGTGAAAATCCTCTGCATTTTGTCACAGTGGGATGGGAATCTCAAAATGAGACTTCCTATAAATCCAGAACATGTCTTTGTGGTTCTGCACAAGTTGCAATGACTGAGAGGTTAGAGGAGTAATCCCTTCCAGGCTTTCCGAAGCATCAGACTGTGGCAACGGTCAGAACTCAGGCGGGAATCATACAGGTGAGTAGGAGCTGTGAAGTGAGGCAGACGGGTAACCTCGGATGTTCCTGAGACAAACACAGAGAAGGATATTAGGAAGCTAACACAAACTTCATAGAAAACTAGGCTGACTACAAGCCTGCTGTGCACCGCCAGTGTAAACTGACCGACTTGAGACGAGGGGGCGCAGACCGGGGCAGATAAACAGTTTTGAGGGTGATGAGATTCCATAGATGAGCAGAATGAGCAATACTAGAGCCCTAAAACCTGCCATTTCTCAGAGGGCACAGATGGAAAAAGGAAAACAAACAAGGAACAACGCGAGAGTAATACCAAACCCTTATCAGTGTATTTTCTTAACCAAATGTATGAGCACGTTCAATTAAAAAAGGCAAAAGCGTCCACAAACACACATGATGCTGAAATGACAGAAATAATAAAACAAAGCTGCTTAAACAAGAAATCACTATTATTATGTGACTGTTTGACTGAGTTATAATAAATTAAAGATGTTTTATGTCTCAACTCTTCTCACAACCCTTTGCAGTGTTGGTGGGAAGGTCTACGATGCATGAAGAGGAGAAAGAAGGATGCAAAATAGGAATGAGAGGATCAGCATGCAAAGGCCACGTAGTTTGTGCATTCATTAGCAAGAGGTATGGACTCGAGTCACATGACTTGGACTCGAGTCAGACTTGAGTCATTATTTTAATGACTTCTGACTTGACTTGATAAAATCTATAAAGACTTACGACTTGACTCGGACTTCAACGCCAATGACTTGCGACTTGAATCGGCTTGCATCTGATGACTTGATGATGACTTGAGCATATCTGATATTTTAGCACAAAATTGGCACGACATGGACAAAAATCATAAATCTTTCGTTGTTCTGGGTTTGATTTACTGCTAAATTCAGCAGAACTTTGTTTATAATCTATTTCAGCTGCACTTTCTGCTGTTTGAGCAAATAAATTAAGCTTTAAGAAGCTTTATTTCTAGAATTTATTTATTATCATTGTCATTAAATTGAAGTAGGACATATGACTTGATTATGACTTGAAAATTCAAAGTTAAGGACTTGGACTTGACTTGGACTTCCACATCACTGACTTTGGACTCGACTTGGACTTGATTGTCTTTGACTTGGACTTGACTCGAGACTTGACTGGAAAGACTTGCGACTGACTTGTGACTTGCAAAGCAGTGGCTTGGTCACACCTCTGCCATTATCCATATCCTTTAAATCACTTAATCTTTATGCCAAATCAAAAATATAGGCAGACACAAAGTGCTGCAAATGTCATTCTGAACTATTTACTAGTTTTAAAACCTCCAGAACATTAGGAGGGTAAGCAGCTGGAAGACAGAGAACACAGAACTGAAAATTTGGGACCACTTGGGGGTTTTGCGAGAAAGCATGTGAAGCAAACAGAGCAAATTACATGCTAGCATAAAACACACTCCTGAAGCACAGCAGGTAGATCGAACAGATGGTACAAAGTGAACATGAACCCAACGAGGACAGAATGTGACAGAAAGAAAGAAAACATGCTTATCAGAGTCATCTGCAGGTCTGACTGGATAAAAAAGTCACTTTCAAAATAAAAATAATTATGTTGAAGCTCTTAACAATTCCTGGAGAAAGTATGCCAACATCTCCAGGAGAAATTGCCATTTTCATGGCATTTTTCATTTAATTAAAAATAAATATGAAAAGGGGTATTTCAGTTTAATTTCAGCCAACCAGGTGCACTCTGAACAGCAGAGTGGAAGAGAGATGGAGTGAGACTCCATTGCAAAATTCATCTTACAGTGTTGGGTTCGTCAGCATGTTGGATCATGGGGTTGTTTGTTATGTTGACCATTATGTCACAAAATAGAAATAATCATGTGTTATTAGCAACGAGGCAGTAAAGCATCAATCTGTTATGGCAGAAAAAGTATTTTTGACTTTAATGTTAAAGGAAATGCATTTGGTTGTTTTAAACTGAGTCCAAGTTTTGTGGCTGTAAAAGAAGAGCATCATCGGCAAAGAGGAAGACACTGAAAAGCGATGCCTGCACAGCACCTCCATCGTTTTGAATTGTTTTACTGAAAACATGAAAAACTCAAGCTTCCACAAAACACGTTGAAGTATCTCATTGCACATCTCACATCAGACGTTTCATTTTCAGATCTCCTTTTGTCAATTTTCCACGCTCCTGCCGCTGAACGGGAGTTTGGCGATAAACGTGGAGTTGAGCTTTTAATAATCCACAAAAGTTTTCTGAGGGAAAAGAAGATTTAGGTCCAGGATGTTAGACCATGCTCCACTGTCCAGCGTGATGTCCAAAACAAAACATCCTTCACACTCATTCAAGAACAACTCGACACACACACACACACACACACACACACACACACACACACACACGCAGGCCATTAGGGCACAAATGCATTAAAGGCACTCGGTCATATTGATTTTTGTTTACTAGTAGAAAATAGAGCAACTCCCCAGCGTGGACCTATATACAAACCATTATGCCTACTTTTATTGACTAATACCAAAAAAACTACACACACGCACACACACTCAGACCTTGCACTTACGGTAGATGAGGAGTTCAGAGGTCTGAGGATCGTGCAGGAGTGTTTTTTCTACCTTTGCTGAAAGAGAGCAGCGCCCAGCAGAATGGGTGGGATGTTCCACTGATACATCTTATTTATTTTGCTGTCCACCACAAACTTTGCAGACAGGAACTCTTGTCAAAAGGATGAGATGTGAAACGTAGCTCTTGGCATGGGTAGCCGATTCCCTTTTCGTGTCCAGTGGTGAAAATAAGTGGGCCCAGTGAAAGTCTGGGCGAACTGTGATGGTTGGGTGAAAGGAAAATAACTGTTTGTGCCTTTTCAGCTATTTAGGCGTTTTACCTGTCGAGTGGTTTTTGATCAGCAGAGGACGTTGACGGGTCAGCGCGGATTGGGATGGATTAATTTACGCCATTATTGGATTTAGAGGGGTTGAGGACCAACAGAACTTTAAGACAGAGAGGAAATTATCTCTGTCTGACTCCAAAACAAGTTCTTATCTGAATCTGGTGCCCTTGAGCCTGTGAGGATGAAGTGATTACTCCCCCTCGGAAGAAATGTGGAATGCTTCCGTTGCCATGGCAACTCTGTCTCCCTATCCAAGTCTGGGTGGGACTGCGACCGGTGAAGGCCATTGAATCGTTTCCAGGAGTCGCTGTGCTTTCTAATCTAATTCCCTCCTTCCCCTGTCCAAACGGAGGTGACGAGCGCTGCTCATCGCGGCTGCATGCACTGATGTGAGGAGAGTCCCCAACCCTACCTCTCCACCTACTGGACACTTATGTTGTGTGATGTCTGAAGTCTGCTGCATATCTGTCTGAGGTGTTTTTTGTATAGCAAAGCTGCCCTCCTGGTGGAAGGTAACTCTGGAGTGCCTTTTTTTCCTCCACCTGACCCAATCCTCATATAAACCCTCTGATCTCTATTAAGGTAGCACAACTCGGGTTGCGATTGACCACAGTCACCAATTCTTGTCATGTGTCTTTGCCTATGTATGTATGTCTGATCTCAGAATTGTGTGTACTGAAACTAATTGCCCTCTGGGATCAATAAAGTATCTTTGAACTGAATAGAAGCAGATGACTCATGGAGTACTGGAAGTTCCTGAATATTCACGAGTGCTACAATTCATCTTGTTTATCCGTCTCACCTCACATTATTACTGCCAACCTGCTAACAGATGAATGGGATTTTCCTCCTGTTAAGTTTTACCATCGTAGTTGTGTTCAAACAAATGTAGCTGAGAGACAAAAAAGCAGCATTGTAGAAAAAGACAGAAAATGTTTGCCCCTCTCGTCTCTTTCTTCCAGTTCCAGCTCTGACTCACTGACATCTCAGAAGTTGTGGTTCCTTCTTCTAATTCCTACATCAAAAAAAAAAAAAAAATGTCGGCTTTTTTTTCTCTGCTAAAACATTGCATGAAAAACTATTTGCATTCAAAGGTACGAGTTCAAACACACACGTCAATAGAGACAGACGACAAAGCATGTTCCCAGCCTGAGCTCATTTGCAACACAGCTATCCAAAGAGTATGTTGTAATCAAGTTAAAGTAAAGATACTCAGAGGAAGAAAATACACTTAAAGTTCTTGAATACCTTATCACTAATAAGGCTGTTTCCTTTCATACAGCTACGGTTCATTCAGTCAGCCTTTTTTAGTGAGTGTTTCTGTGTAAAAGTTACTCATAATTACTATCTTACACACTCATAATTACTATCTTACACACTGTAGACAACTTCCTGAACAGCCTCAAATTAGAGAAATGGAGTTTAAATCAAAGTGTGTTCACAAAACTGCTTTAAAGAGAATTTTTACTACAAAAAATATTTTCAATCAGAGGAAAGATGTCCAAATATTAGAAAAAAGACTCAAAATCCTGTCGTGTGAAGCTACTTTCTCCTCTGGCTGAATTCTACATGCTGAAACAGCCACACCGGAGCCTTTTTTCCCTTCTGAGAATGTCTCTTTAAAGATTTACGGAGGTTCATATATATGCTACGGCCAAAATCCCATGAAACTGTTATTTACCTGATATTATCTTATCATTCATCAGGAGAAGCTAAGTGCAGCACTTCCTGTGCATTCAAGTCCAGCTGAATTCATTCATTCATTCATTCATTCAGTCATCTTCTGAACTGCTTAGACTGGAGTGGGATGACAGGAAGCTGGTGTCTAAAGTCCATCAGCTGGATCATAACATAAATGGGGGCTTGTCCGGGATCTGTTGGGCCACAATATGAAAAATGTACACCTCAACTAAATAATTAACTGACTCAGACTAAAGGAATCAAAACACAGGAGTAAATTACAACACTGGCTTTGAAGCTGGTGTTTTTACTACCAAACAATGCAGAAATAGCCAGGTAATATGTTTGTTTTTGTTTCCAGGCGATTGAAACTTTCGCCAAAAAGAGACATTGGGCTTTGAAAGTTTGTAGATTTTCTATTATCCAAGGCAAAGGAACTTTTATGTTTTTTTTTTTTTTTGTATTTTCTTACCGAAATTTGAACTTATTTCTGGAAAAATAAAACTTGCAAAATGACAACTATCCTTTAAGCTGCTCATTACACACTCAAGTTCTCTGGTTTTCAGGTTTTGAAATAACTGGCTTCTCATTTATCCGTAATTTACATTTAAGAGACAAAGAATAAGAGAATTTCCACGTTTGCATTCATTTCCTCTGGGAAAGCATGAAGAGGACAGCGCTGTATATCTAAAAGTTTATCTTTCTGGCGAGGAGAGCATTTCTTTCAAAGAAATTCGGCAGACCGAAATGTCTAATGGGCACTTTGATAAGAACGAGGCAAACTTTTATCTTTGTTTGTGCAAACATCACCTCTAGCGCACGAGCAGCATGTCGTGTACATCATCTGGGTATCACACGCACTGTATCCCACAGAGAGGCTGCGTTTTCGCTGTGGAGCCTGTTTGTTAGTGGACCCCCATTTGTGTTTGGGTCACTGTGTTCCATTACCGCGCAGTATGCACGAAACCAAACAAACATAACACCAACAGGCTAAGCAAACGGTGGTGCAGCATCCTGCTGCCATTTGAGACTCCGTATGGGGTCCATGCTGCGTGTGTGTAGCTGAGTATATTTAGAATAATCAAGGTTTGCAAGATAATGTTTCCAGTTACTGGATCAAGTTGACGACATGTGACTTTGTCGGTGTTTGTTTACATAGCAGCCAACGGTGTATGGATATGTCTGAGGGCTGTTTGTGGCATTGAGTTATGGTAGGTGTGAGTTTCTGAGCACATTGTTACGTGCTTCTGATGTTCCTTTGCAAATGATTGGCTGTCCTTCTGCAGCCGACTGGATCAGACTTCACATGCCGGCTTCATTCTGCCCTATAACGCCCTCGCCTCATGCTGATAATTATCTGCAAGACTGCACTCTCCTCTCCTTGTGTTTGAATAGGAATGACAAAGAGCAAGTTTGTAAATCAGCCAGAAAACTTTGCTAGGGAGTGCAAGGTGGAGGCAGGAGAGGGTTCTGGGGAGGGGACAGCCGGTGGAGCCGACAGACAAAAGGAGAAATGATAATGATGAGTGTGGAGAGGCAGGGAGATTGAATCTTTTAATCTCCCAAAGTGGGAAGAAAGCAACCTGAGGCATTTGTGATTGGATTTCTTCAAGACCAAAAATAGGTCAATATAACTAGCATTGCTCATTAGCAAAGAGGAGGAGAGCGAGGGAAAAGTTTGGTGTCGATACAGTTGGCATCATTCAGTTGCCCTTGCTTCAGGGAGGGGTTGGGGGGGTGCAGATGAATGGAGCAGCGGCAGAAGTGCTGCAGGAGGTGCAGTTGTGGGGTTTTGAAGGTCTGCAAAGGTTGGAACAGGCTGCAAATATAACACAGCAGAGAAGATTCAACAAAGGCATCCATACTGTCTGTATGAGCCACTTTATAATCTCCACTAGTTACACCCATGCTGCATTGTGATGGAGATCATTAACCAGTGTTTTTGTTTCATCGGTTAATCCTGTATCAAGCTCAGAAATGTGGTGGCGCTCTATTTGCGCAATTAAATCCTGATTTCGTCATCCATATAAGGGTTCTATCAAGTATGAGGTACAAACAAGTGAAGTGCTAGTTCAATAGGAGCCAGCATGCCACACTTATTCCAACTTCAGTCAACTGGAAATCAATAGAAGTTTTTCTTTTGTATGTTTAAAAATGTGCAAAACTTCCTACTGCCTGACAGGTTATACTGTAGCCTTGTTTGTGTTCCAGACAGTATTAATTTTGTCCACTCAGTGTTTTTCTCTCTTTTTTATTTGTGGCAAATTAATTTTTACAAACAAAAACTTTTATTTCTATTTCTAATGAAAACTAAATAAAGATTATTAATCAACATTTCTGTCGACAAATAAAAGACGACAATGAAAATGAACTAAAATTCAGTTAGAAAACGTGAAAAATAGAAGAATGGACAAAGGAACCAATCAGTAGAGACTAGATGAGAAAACACCAATCAGAGTCCAGAGTCGGTTGTTGTTTGAACAAACTATGGTAACAACAGACATCGTGTATTGATGTCCACGCCATTAACAGTCGAACAGTTTAGGACTAAAAGGAAAGGAATGTCCACAGCTGTGAGGGAAAGCATTAGATATGATTATCTGAAAATGTATAATGTGTCACAATAGTTTGGTGTTTTCCATCAATTATTGTTATTAAAACAATCATAAATATAGAGTTTTATTGATCCAAAGTGTGAAATGTGAATTTTTCACATTTCTTTACAGTTTCAAGTAGATGTAGTTAACATTTTCTTTACAGAAGTTGAAAATTATTGCATCAGAAGACAAATACATACATTTTAGTCGGCTAAAATAACAATACAATTCAAACAAATTTGATGACTGAAATGAATTTTAGTCCAAAGACAAACACTAAATGAAAATGTCTTGTCAACGTTAACACTGGTTCCAGGTATGGTGTTCTACATCAGGTCCGGTGTTCCCAGTTTACCAAGAACAACTGTTCCTGTCGTTGTAGGTGTCGGTTTTTTCTACCTGGGTTTACATCAAGAGAAGGCAGCTTTGGTTGTTGTTGGATTCAGTAAATATTCACACAGTCATGTTTCATGAACATGCATGTAGCACACCCTACACTGACCCTCTAACATATACATGTCATTCATTTTTGGTGTCTTTATTTTTGAAGACATGTAAGTGGGCCTAATTCAAATAAAAACAGACTGTTGAAACTTAGTGTGTCTGACAAACCAGGTTTTTTAATGGGACTTGTCTGGGATCTCCCTCATAATAACTCATATTTATTTAACGTAGAAAGTACTAGTTAGTTTGTTAGTTCGTTAGTTCGTTCGTTAGTTAGTTAGTTAGTTCGTTCGTTAGTTCGTTAGTTCGTTAGTTAGTTCGTTAGTTCGTTAGTTCGTTAGTTCGTTAGTTAGTTAGTTAGTTAGTTCGTTCGTTCATTAGTTAGTTAGTTAGTTAGTTCGTTCGTTCGTTCGTTAGTTCGTTAGTTCGTTCGTTAGTTCGTTAGTTAGTTCGTTAGTTCGTTAGTTAGTTAGTTAGTTAGTTAGTTAGTTAGTTAGTTAGTTCGTTCGTTCATTAGTTAGTTAGTTAGTTAGTTCGTTAGTTCGTTCGTTCGTTCGTTAGTTCGTTAGTTCGTTAGTTCGTTAGTTAGTTAGTTCGTTCGTTCGTTCGTTCGTTCGTTTGTGTGCTCTGTCTTCTCAAACCCCCAGTGAGTCGTGACGGATGGCTGCTCAAACTGATCCAGGTTCTGTTGGAGGTTTCTTCCTGTTAAAAGGGAGTTTTCCTCTCCACTGTCACTACATGCTTGCTTAGGATGAGGATTGCTGTAAAGACTCTGTGACTTGATGCTGTCTGCTGGGTTCCTTATATAGGAAACTTTTAACTAACTGCATAATGAACTGAGCTCTATGCATGGATATGTAGGTTCAATGTTTTACTTTGTGAAGCGTCTCCAGATGAATCTTGTTGTACTTTGGCGCTTTGTAAATAAACTGAATATTTTACTTAGATGAAAATGCTTTTAATTGTTAAAACTAAAGAACGATAAATTGCTGGGTTGCATGGTGGTGAGGTGGTGACTGAAAACCAATCTAAGGTGTCCCTCGCCTCTCCCTCAACGTTCCCTCACAACCCTCCCGAGGAAAAGTGGCTCCGAAAAGGAGTGAGACAGCAACCACTCGCCCGGTCACTCCAAACAGAAAATAAACTTAGATGGCAAACCGATGTAAAAATCAGGTTTGAATAAATCTAAAGAGTCCTTTTTTCATATTTAAGGCAATCAACCATGTAGAAACAGATTTTACTTTGTTGTTTAGATGTTTTGTTGTGTTTTTCAATTAAAACCTATCAGGAAATC